CTGGATCACTTTCCCCCCCCAAAAAAGAGGCACAATGACGGAACAGGGATGGTTAGGTAGCGTGCATGTGGGATCGTGTGTGCCCAGGCACAGGACGGGGCAGAGGGCATTAGAAGCAGCAGGCAGAGTATGCGAGGGGTAGCTGTGCTCAGAAAGCCCCGGAAAAGCTGCTAAGTAGGCTGCTGCTCCCGGCTGCGGCTTTGCCAGCCGGCTGAACAGATTGCTGGTGCGTAAGAGCAGCGTGTAGCAATAGGGAAGGGAGTGAAAAGGCACAGTGTGGTGGATGCTGTGGGTTGGGCGTGAGAGCTCGCTGATTTATTTCTTATTTTTAAATTAAATGTTAAACTTCCAGTCAGTGCTATATAAAACATGAAAAAAACTAATTCCTGCCTAACCAGCTCATTATCCACGTAGCTGGACAGCACGATAACAAGTGATTGTAGGAAATCTGATGTAGGAAATGTTTTCCATAACCTCTCTCTGCCCCAGTTTCGGCGCTTTCTGAAGGGACAGAATTAATATGCAGTAAAAACAGTGCGAGTTTTAATGCGAGCTTTGCACATTGATCTCAATGCTGTCAAAAGCCAACCTTTTGGAGGATTACTTATGTGGACCAGTCCTCCATCCCATGATACTGAGATGGGAACAACAGTAATAAGGGAAAAGTGTGGGCAAGCCGTTTCAAGACAGAATAGTTTTGGAAGCCTTTCATTCCTCCTCCTGCCACTAAGAAGAGACAAATGCTGGAAGAAAAGGGTTAAATGCAAGTTGTGCTCAGATAAACAAATCTATGGGAGATAAAGCAGTTGCCATGCCAGCTGACACCGAAAGCAGCCAGCACAAATTTGGCACAGAGGAGATGATCTAAAAGGCTGCACTGAGCTCTGAGGCTCATCGTATGCAGGCTGATCCTTGGCTTTAGCTTTGTCAGTCCTGTGGACTTTAAATCAGAAGCAACAATTGCTTGCATCAAATTTCTCATCTGTTGGAGGATAGTGAGGAGGTAGTTATGTTTTCTGGGGCTAAGCAAATGAAAACCAAGGATGAAAGTCTGACAAATGTGCAGGAAAAGGGCATGAAAGATCTGAGTCTCTGCCACTAACTCTATGGGTAGCCTTTGGCAAGTCCTTTGATTTTTTTTTTTCCCCCTTCTCTATGTAGAAAATCGAAATAAGCAATATTTTATGTGTTTAGTTTCTCTATTTGGTCTTTGGAACTGACAATTCAGTGTTCTGATGGATCTTCTCTAGGGTTTCTAAGTAGTACTGCAAATAATCTCTAACTAATAATGACAGTTAAAGCACCAATGGAAGATTTGCTTCCCAAAGGGTGACAACTACCTGTTCAGTCTGGTCAAATAGTGAGTAACGTTATCTCTCAATATACTGGATAAACCATCCTTTGTCAAGGATAACATTAGCTTCCTGAGGAGTTCATTGACTAATGTGAGCAATTATTGATTTTAAAAATGGTGTTCTAAGGCACTGTTTAATAGCTGTTGTTGAGTCCCTCTTTCTGTAGTTTAGGCTGTGCTATTATTTAACCAGATGTGGGGAGTACAGGTGTCAATGTAAGTCATGACTGTAATCCTTCAACTAAAATCCTGAAAAACAGGTTTCCCGTCAAAATGCAGATGAAAAGCGTATTTTATTTATTCTTCATTCCTGGGAGACTAATGTATTTCATCTAGTCTGTTGCATTTTGCCAGTTTCAGGGCTTTCTCTGCTTCATAGGTGAAGTCTGAAGCACCAATGTCTCATTGTTTATGTCTTAAGAGTAAGGCAATGAGAGGACTCATGTGAAAGTCCAGGCAACAAGGTGCCCTACAACTTTGCCCATTACATCACTGACACCAGAGTAAATTTCACAGAATCACAGAATCACTAAGGTTGGAAAGGACCTTCAAGGTCATCAAGTCCAACCATTAATCCAGCACCACCATGTCCCTTAAACCATGTCCTGAAGTGCCACATCCACAGGTTTTTTTGAATACTTCCAGAGATGGCGACTCAAATTTGATGGGGTCTCTCTAGAGTCAAAAAGGCACTCGGGTGAAAAAAGAAAAAAGCAACCACACACAAAAATAGTTTCAGGGTAATAGGCTGAAAAACGAGAGGGACTGCCCTATGTCTGGACTTCCTCCAACCCCAGCTCAAGTGCAAGCTCCCTGTATGTGTAGACATGTTAAATGTCAAGCACAGAAATAATCCACATGAACTCCATCGCACTCTCATAGACGAGAGCAAACATAGCCATTGGCACAGCTATCTGTCACGTAAACATCCATATTCTGGTGCAGAGTACATAAAAATATGGTGTCAGAGAGAAGGGCAGCAGCAGAACGTAGGAATTTAAAGCCAGATGGTGGCTGTATGTTCCGTCATTGAGTGCTTATATCTATATATGCATACACACAGAAATATAATTGTGTAGGTATGTATATTATCCAAAAACTCATTAGATGAATTTCAACTTTTCGTTGTAATTCAGGGCATCGTGTTCAGTGTATATCTAATTGACTTTCCAGTAGCTTAACTTATTAATGAAAATTAGGTCGATGCATCAAGCCTAAAAGCCTGTAGAGTAAAAGGTTGTACTGGAACTTTCTTCAGTACACTAGAAAGGACTCAAATGTAGAAAAATATGTTAATAAAAGGCAGGTTTGCTCCTACAGCAATCAGAAAATTAACATTGTCAAAAATGTTAATCCCTTCATAATGTCCGAAAGCAGTTAAAATGCAGTTATGATTCAGGTGTATTAAAAATATTAATATAAAAAGCCTTTTCATTTTGCAAACCTACACTAATATAATGTTTTAACTGTTATTACTGATGTCATGAAATTCAAAATGAACTAAAATTTAATATTTTAATATTGTTGTGACCAACTATTACCCATATTTAAAGTGAAATAATGGTTATTTTTATTTCTTCTTTTTTTAGATTATTGGAATAAAATAGCAAAATTTAAAACATTTATATTTAAAAACCAGATATTTTTCTGATCAGTGTTATATACCAGGATGCCAGGAGCATCAGGCTTCAGTCTACTTACCACTGCCCTGGTCTACCTCCAACAAGAATTCTAGAAAGCTTATAACATCACATTTGAGGATTTAATCCACACTGTACAACTGATAAACTAAAACTGGATTTTTACGAGTCAAAAAGTTTTTTTAATTTTTTTTACAACTTCTTCTTATTCTGTGGGTCAGGCTGTTGAGTGAGGTGACCTCATGTAAGGAACCACTTCCGTTATGAGCTACTGATTTGAGTGGCAGCAGGCTATGAAAGACACTATGAAAGACACTGATCAAGGAACAGTGCCTTGCTCTTTGTTCCTCTGTCTAATAAAACCACAGGTAAAAGTTCCCACAGGTTATCCTACAGTTGGTATTCAGGTTTTAGCAACTTTTGCATCTATATCTGAGCTGTATCACTGTTAATAAACCTGGCTTTTGGTAAGCTCAGGAGGGAAACAGGTCTGTCCAAAATACTCTGCGGAGGCATCCCTGTTAATCTGCCAAGCATCTGGAGGACGGCCATAGCCCTTCTGCAGCATCTGGTAATTTCGTCTGATGCAGTAGGTTGGACGATCTTTGCTGGAAAATGTTTGCTGGGAGCATTGGTGATGTCTCTTCAGAGTTAGTACAGCTACCCAATATTTACAACTATCCAACAATTCTCATATGCGAAATCTTGAAGGCAGCTGGAGTTGGGCAGAGAAGCCAGGAGACCAAGGGTGTGCTCATCATGGCTTTTAGGATTAACCCTCCAGAGTAACTGGTGGGTTGAATGTGTAGGTCTGATGTTGAATACATCCATTGAAAGACACAGTACAGCCTACCTGATGTTTCAGCTTAGTTTTATAGACTGCCACCATCACTTTCACACTAAATCCTCTGGTTTCTATCTTAGACAATCAAAAAGCACATCTGATTTATTTTAGGAGAGACGAATCAATGAATTCAAAATTATTATATGATAAGCGATTTGAAAAAGTATAAAATATAAACTGCATTTTATGCTGCGTTGAAAAGACTTTTTTTACTATTTTGTTTTCTTAGATGCTGTCTTTTTCCTTTCCCATAGGATCAAAATCAATCTTTGTTTGGATTTCACTTTTAATAAAAACCCTCTCATACAGATTGGTGAATGGCTTTTCCAATCCCTCGTTAAGATTTGACCATATGTTCGGAGCTAAAGAAGAACAACCCGAAGCCCTGTGGTTACTCCAGGGGACACAGAACTAAGCTGATCTAAATATTTAACCTGCCGTAGTGGTCAACGAAACGTTGGAAACTTTTTTCACTGGCCGGTGGGCCACCGGCAGAGCTGCTTGCAGGCAGCCTCGTCGGGGCCTCGGTGTCTCTGTGCATGAGGCAGCAGCACCACTCGGTGGCTTAAGGCCACTCCTCTCCGTGCATCCCCCAACACCGAGTTGGAGGCAAAGTCCACCGAGGATTCCGGAAAGTCTGACTTCAGTGCAGTTCGGGCGAAGTACTTAACAGGGCGGGTGGGAGGTTGGTTTGAGATAATCCCAACGTTATATTTTTGAAGGACAAAAGAAAGGAAAAAAACAAATTCTTAATGCAAACGCCAACTTTTATGATTTTCCATTGTAACATTTGTATTTTTGGTATACAAATCAGCGTGGATTTTTGCACAATATTTTGGGAAATGTGTGGGTCTTTCTTCTTTCAGAACCCTCCCCCCCTAAAAAAAAAAAAAGGAAAAAAAGAAAAAAAAAACAACAAAAAAGCTCTCTAATCTCTCTTTCATGTCCTCTTCATGAAACTCCACAATAACCAGAGATTTAACAACACAATGCAATCGACCATCTTCTGAAAACCACTTTCCAGCCATAGTAACACAGTACTAATTATGAAAAAAGGAAATTTTCTTGCAGTTCTTCTGTGGGCACTGCTACATCCACTCCTCTTATGGGAAGCAAACTCTTACCAAGATCAAATTAATTATTTTTATTCTTCTAATTTCAGGTTGGGAAGTAGATAACTTGGGGCAAACCCATGCAGGTAAGAACCAGTTGTCCTGACTACCTCCTATGTACCTCTGTTATCAAAAACTGTATGTAGAGCACATGATAATATCAGATTATTTAAAAATTATTTGGTATCAACCATCATGATAATGAATACACGTAGTTCATTGTAACTGATAAAATGTGAAAGTAAAAATCTGGTAAGTTTCTAAAAATCAATGTGATCTAACCTAAAACCACAAAATTAAAGTGTCCTACTTAAAACCAATTAATTATTGCTTTTTGTCGTTGATGGATGGAGATAATTTTTCATGAATTCTGTAAAAACTAAACATACTTAAATAGCTATGCATTATAAATATAAATTTCTAATTATATAATATCTGACTTTTATATTTTATAATAAAATTGGTCCTAGTTTGAGTGTATGTGGTTTTAGCTATGTTCTCGCTGCTTGCAGTAGCAATTTTTTAATTTTATAGGTTCAGCTTTGATTTAAACTCACAAGTAAAACTGTGTTTACTTCCTGAAAAGACAGACTCAAGTTATGTGTTGCCCTTGGGCCTGATCCAAACAAATAAAAATCAATTGGATTCTATTCACTGATTTCCACAGAGACCAGTTTGGGTCCTAATAGAAAACACAATCAAAACAATTTCATACCAAATTTCCACTTTTATAGGTGATTATGACCTGCTGGAAAGCACAGCCCAGTCTCCCCTAGGTAAGAAACAGAATCATGGAATGTTTCTCTTCTAATTTTAACCCTGTTAAAAAGGAAGCTTTAAGATTTTTCTCCTGCCATTTAGGTATTATTTTTTAATCAGTTCTAATTATGGTGACACATTTTCTGGTGCGTTACTTTTAACATTATTATGAAAATGTATTCCTCCACTATTGAGCCTTGCAATCTAGCAAGTATGTTATTATAAATTATATCTATCTGCTTAACAGTAATTACTAAATGGTGTTAAGGAAAGTCAACACCATGATTCAGTGGTTGTTTTCCATAGAAAACTAGGGATGAATGTGCAAAAGTAATTTACCAAAATTTGCCAAGCAATGCAATGTTCTGAAATGAATGCTGTGATTAAATATATATATTCTGCTGCATGGATGGCATAAAAATAAGGTCACTGCTAGTGTTATGAGCCACTTGACTAAACTGCTCCAAGAATGCGAAGAAGCACAACCTTAATTAAAAAAAAAAACACCTTGGAAATTTCTATCAGTTTTGGTCAAGGTACAGCTCAAACTCCCAAAACTGTAATGGTTCGATAAATGGAAGCAGTTCTATTGTGCTGAAGAGGAATAAGTGCAGCCAGCAGCTCAGCTCTAATTTTTCATCCAGGTCACTGAGCTCTGGCAAAGTAACGGTGCTTAGAAAGAGCACCCCAGGGGTCATCCCACCTTAGGCAGCCTCAGTAACAAAGTGAGTGTCAAGAGGCACTTTCCTCTCCTACTCCCAGCTCTTGTTCCCCAATACGGTTTTGAGGCTTTTGACTGTCAGCGAAAGCCATTTAGGAGCTGGTCATTATATGAGATTCGCCACACAATTAGGGTAAAAAAAGAGGAAAAGAGAACGAGGTTTTCTCTGAGCCAGTTTTGAGCCTCCTTGCAAACACTTGCTTTAGAGCAAGGTTTTAAACTGAGACTGGAACAAATAGTAGGCAGAGGTATGTAAGAAGCTCTGAAAAAGGTTTGAAGTTTTCCACTGAAGCCACACTGGGAATCTGGAGATGTAAATGAACTTTTTGCTGTGAAGACAGAGACAGGGAAGAGATTCCCACTCTATCTTTCCTTTGTTTTCCTACAGACCCTTCTCAGAAAGTCACTCTGACATCAGAGTTTAGGCTTGAAGATAAGTGAGTGGGATACATGTTATCTGACTGTAGGAGAACAATCCAGCTGCTTCACCATAGACATATAATATCCTACAGTAATAATAAAATAATAATTTTACATTTCCTACAGTATCCTGCTTGGCTTCCAGCAGCTGCTCAAAAAACTTATGTTAGCCTTGTGTTTTCTTGCCAGTACCATGCAGATGCCTCAGGTATAGATCATCTAAAATAACACAAAGTGCCTACCTCTATTTAAGCACTGGACTTAGCCTTTAGCCGTCCAAAGTATAGTTGTCTACGTTGACGCTGTATTCCCTAGATGGCTTTCAGAATTAATGGAGAGAAATGGACACTTAGCTGACCCCTGGTTTTGGTACCCACTTAAGAATGAGATCTTTGGTGGCCTGGAGGCACTGACTATGTTAGTTAAATCTTTTTTGCTCTCCGGTGACCAGTTGTAGTAGTAGACATCCATAGGTGCCTATTGTAGAACTGACTCATTAAAGATGTAATTAAACTTTCAAGATGCCATTAAAGTCTTCTATGGATGGACAGATAAATGGTAACCCCAGTGGTACTGTGAGGTTTTCTTTGGTCAGGTACCAAGGGGAGGGAGGGTATCCCCTGGGGTTTGCTTCAGCATTGTCACATTCCTAACTGTACTTGACATAGGGGACATCAGTAGAAATTGCACTGAAGATGGCTGGTCTGAACCTTTTCCTCATTATTATGATGCCTGCGGCTTTGATGAAAATGAAACAGAGTCCGATAACCAGGTGGGAATTAATCTTATAATTAAAAAAAATTAAGGTAGGAACAGCAGGCTGCTTTTTGTCCAGCCTCTGGTCATGTTCTGATTTGATGGTGTTTAGGATGAAACAATCAGATATTTATGGGCATAAAAATGTGAGAAGCAAGATTTAAATCCTTTCTAGCCCTGTACTGGGTATTTCCAGAATATGAGTGTTTACTGTCGATACAGCTTGTAACTTGTAGAAGCACAGGTTAACCCCCCAGTTCTTCCCCTGCTGACTAAAGAATCCCTTAGCCAGCTGCTGGTTTTTTCCACAGATACATGCACAATGGTCAAAGAAATCTAGACAGCCTTTGCTAGCCCACTGACAAATAAGATTCGCAGTGTGCAGACCCAAGGGTACACCAGACATAGAGCGATGCTCTAATAGAGAGTGAGATCTCAGGGGAACCAAGAGCAGAAAACAACCAGGCTGTTCAAGAAACAAATCCTGCCTATGGTTGCCCCTGCACGTTTACAGGGTAAGGAAGATGTGACCGTAGATGAACCATTTAACGTGTGTTGTTTGCTTCCCAAGGATTACTACTATCTATCTGTGAAGGCTCTGTACACAGTGGGCTACAGTACTTCTCTTGTTTCCCTCACCACCGCCATGGTTATCCTGTGTCGTTTCAGGTGAGTCAGGACATGAGCAGTGAGCTGCTCAGTCACTGGAGGAAAGAGGCTGGAGCTCATTGGCCCAAAACAATGTTTAAACTTTTATCTCACTAGATGTAGAGTAAGAGGGAGACAACCCTTTAACAGAATTGTTGCCCCAGCTTGGATACACTCCAGTAGTCACATTTCAGTAGACTGTAGACTGCAGACTGCAGTAGCTGCGTTAGGCCATCTCTATTTTATGCTACCCTGCATGCTTTTACAGGAAAATCCCCAAATCCTCCTCTTGGTCAGATTTAGGGTCAGTATTTATCATACTCTTGACTTTCAGATGTTGCTATTCTTATCACCAAGGGGCTAAGAGCTCTTGGCCATGTGTGCTGTTTCCACAAAAGAAAAGTCTTTTTTTTCTTTTTCTTCTTTTCCTCTCCCTTGCTCTTTCCTCTCTAGGAAGCTTCACTGTACTCGAAATTTTATCCACATGAACCTCTTTGTTTCTTTCATCCTACGTGCAATATCTGTATTCATTAAAGATGGAGTTCTTTATGCTGAACAGGATGGCAACCACTGTTTTATCTCAACGGTAAGTAGAATCAAAACCAAAATCTTTTCCTTTATTTTGTTTCAGCATGAGACAACAAAAAACAGTGAGGCAGGCAGCAGTCTGTTGGGTATCATAGGCTGAGAAGCTATTGGGGGAGAGAGTAATTGGTGGTAAACTTCCCTCCAGGTTCACAGCAAAACTGTGGATGGTATGGTCTCAAGATGCCATCAGTGTCCAGCAGTCTGTCCTTTAAGACAAACCTACAAGTTTCAGTTTCTGACCCTACTCAGGTTCTTTCTCCCTTTCACAGATCTGCATAGTGATAGGTGGGATGAGAGCAGACACATCAGCTTCTTTCATCTGAAGGTCTGTGTTTTCTCCAGAGCCTTACCTTTTCTGAAGAGAGTCATGTGTAGAGAGGGTGACCGTTCAGACATAGAAAGTATCTCACAGTCTCAAAAACTCATTAGTATTAGCTACATGTTTGTCTCCGAAGTGTGTGGTTTCATGGAAAGCAGTCCCTTTCACAGATACACTTAGCTATATATTGCATGTAAATCACAATTCCTTTCACATTTAAGGCTAGTATTTGATTTAATAAATCAGCTCACTGAGTGTAATTATGATAGAATACAGTGAGTTCCCAAATTGAGATCTCCTTTATCCATTCAGTTATGAGCTAAATTCGCTATGAAGTGCAGCTGTGTAGTTTCTTAGTCAGCCTTTTCTTTGTCACTGAAAATAGATTTCCTTTTAATTCTTCTCCATGGTAAAGCTGAAGCCATGTTAGAGCAGTAGTTTTTTCACACCACTCTCTTAATAGTGGCATCTGCCTCTTTGTTTTGAAATACTTGAAGTGTAAAACACGTTATAATCAGCCATCTAAAGACCAAATCTTCAGCCCTGGTAGAGCTTCCATGAAGAAACTCAAGATCTGGTGATTTAAACATATTGGTTGTAGACTTGTCCCAGAGAGTGGAGTGCAAGTTGGAACCAGTTAAAATTGTTAGCCTCCAACTGCCCCAGTCAGGATCTTCCAGTTTTTACACTGATTCTGCTCCGATTTGTTGAAAAGTCCTACTTGTGTAGGACTAAGATGTCTCACTGGGATGCAACACTGGAAAGACGAGTGTGTCCTCTCACAGAGTCTGAGTAGAGCTCGGTTTCCACCTAAGGCTTTTATCATAGAAACACAGAACCATAGAATCATGTAGGTTGGAAAAGACTTTTAAGTTCATCGAGTCCAACTGTAAACATAACACTGCCAAGCCCACCACTAAACCATGTCCCTAAGTACCACCTCTACGCGTCTTTTAAATATCCCCAGGGATGGTGACTCAACCACTTCCCTGGGCAGCCTGTTCCACTGCTTGACAACCCTTTCAGTGAAGACATTTTTCTTCATATCCAGCCTAAATCTCCCCTGGGGCAACCTGAGGTCATTTCCCCTGGTCTTATCACTTGTTACTTGGAGAAGAGACCAACACCCACCTCGCTACAACCTCCTTTCAGGCAGTTGTAGAGAGCAATAAAGTCTCCCCTCAGCCTCCTCTTCTCCAGACTGAACACCCCCAGTTCCTTCTTTTTTTCCTTTTTCTTTTGTCCACTGCTTTTCACCCCAGTAAATGAATGAAAGCTTCTACCATTTTTTACAGTAAATCACTCTTCTTTCTTTACACTTACACCTACTTCCATTTTCTGTCCCTGACTGACACCATCTGCAAATGGCAAGGAAGTACAATTCCCAGCTGCACACAGGAGGGTGCATCCTTTCTGATCCCACTCTCAGGGTTTTCCACAATCATCCTGCCATTTTACATCCTTCTTTAGGTTTCTCAATACGCAACTGGATTCTTTTCTTCTCTGCACTTAATTCTTGGAAGGGAGCTTCAATCTAGCAATTAGCATCCATTGATGATGTGAACTCCCACTAACGCAAGACGTTCTTAAGCTGTCCGCAGACACTTGTCGACCACCTCCCACTGGTAAAATTGGTTACCTGTACTTTCAAGCTTCACTCTCTAAGTGGCACCTCACGTTCTTCTCATATTTTTAAAACTTTACTGTTAAAAGTGTCTAATATCAGACCCAGCTGTGTTCCTTTCCACTAAGAGATTTAGAGAGGTTGAAAGAATTTTCGTTATCTCTTAGGCAGAAACAACATGCAAATAACTTTGTTTTTCTTGATTCTCTGCAGGTGGAATGCAAAGCAGTGATGGTGTTTTTTCACTACTGTGTCATGTCCAACTACTTCTGGCTTTTCATTGAGGGACTGTACCTTTTCACTTTATTGGTAGAAACCTTTTTCCCAGAGAGGAGATATTTCTACTGGTACACTATTATTGGCTGGGGTATGTGACATTTCTTGTCTAGATTGTGTCTCAGTGTGCAAGACGACTCCACAAACCATCTAATATTTCCGCAAAGAGTTTCGAAGTATAGTTTTAGTCTTTGTGTAGAAGTACCACTGCAGACCGAACTGTATTGAGATTTTTGCCTGGATAGACTGGAACTGAAATATGGAGGACACCACATCTCTTGCAGAGATGTAGTCCACAACTGAGAATTGAGAATAATATCATACAAGATATGATCTTAATGCCAAGTTCTTCAGCTTAATCAAATCTGCAATGCTAAGTCTAGTCCATTTTCTAAGACTTTATTTATGCCTTTCTTCCAGATAATAGCTAAATTGAAAACATATCTAAAGGGTATCCACATATGCTCATCATACCTGGGTGAAAAATGGAAAGTTGCAATAAGAAGAATCAAGATTTGTTTCAGAAAGACCAGTTGTATGATGATAACCAGTGTAATCATTTTTCATGCTAGCTTTCTGGAGATAAATTGATTCCTGTAACATGTTAATTCAAGAAGTTCTTTGTTGACATTTTTGTGCAGAAGTCAGATGGTGAATGCAGAAGAGTACATTAATATTAAATGTATTCTAAGAAGGTTAAGCTCAATTTTTGTATTTAAACAAACATACATCTGAAATAATCTGGAAATAATCCTGTATATTTATTTGTAAGTCTATATATAAACCATATGGCTTAAACTATTATCCTTTGAAAAAAACATCCTCATGTAACCCAAACCTTCGAGAAATCCACAGCTAGGTTTGTTTTTTCCCTCCTGAGGCAGCTGTGCATACACAAATTCTTATTTTCTGGCAAAGACTCCCCACAGTAGGAGCAAAGGTACAGAGAAGAAGGAACAAGAGATCAGAAATAACCTATGGCATATAAAGACTATTAGAAAAGGCTGGCTGTTGGAAAAGGATGTTCGAAGTTCCCCTTGTACTACCCACATATGTATATAATCACATTATAGCTGAGATATAAGACTGTTTTCGAAGACAACTTGGGGGTTATGTACCTGAAAATGTGTCAATTATAAAAGAAAACAATGTGTAAATCTCCACAATCTGAACATAAATCAGAAGTTGGGTTCCTTTAATTACATTTGCACAAATTTCATATCTGTAGGTTTGTCTGAATGTGAGAAAATTGCAATACAGTGTATTAACTGAATATTTTTTAAAAAAAAGAACCAGTTTCTGTGGTGAAAGAGCTACCCAGATGGATTGATTCTATAATGAAACCTCAGAATATTTGGTCTTGAGTTGAATACCATAAATAAGATCCAGATGTTCAGTATCAATAACATCCATTAACAACACTAGGAAAATCTGCATGGCTTTGGTTTTGTTTTATTTTTTAAAATACAATATTTTCTCAGCTCCTGTGTATTTCAACTTGAATAGCAGTTCCCCTGACCTGGGAGGAGCAATTGGCATTTGCAAGAATAGAAGCACTTCCAGAGTCTGGGTGCAAGTCACCTAGGGCAAAAGCAGCCCCTCAGCTCAGAGCTGATGGGCAGGGAGCTGCATTGAAGCAGCAATAAGCAAGAGCTCAGCATTTTGCAGCATCTGGTTGTTTGTTTCTTAAAATGTGCTGAGCACACCAGCGTCCTCATTTGATTAATGAGAGCTACATATGGCTGTGTCGACCCAGACAATTTTTTCCTCTTAAATATGCAATATGCTGGTAACTCCCCTGGATAGACTGCTGTCTTCCTGAGATCTCTCCTAATGCCTGCTCCTTACTCAGGGCAGAAACACGGTCAGAAGAATAGCTCTCTTCGCAGCCTTTGGGGCTCGTCTGTTTTCTAAGCTGAAAAGAAAGTGATGAAGATATATATAACTTTTGATGCAAAGAAAAATCAGTATATGTATATTCATACAGCAGATGGTTCAAAACTCCAAGATGATCTGAAATGTGTCTTTTGAATGATATTTTTATGGCACATTTAGTCTAATTCTGCCTTCCTGCCCATGTTTCAGACTTGGAACACTACTCATTTCATCAAAACTTATATAGTGCATATCGATGCAAACTAGATAGCACATTAGACCCATATATTCAAAGATTATTTTTATTATTGTGCATCTGTTAAGTGCACAAAGCTCTCAATGTTTTCTAAGTATTCTCAGGTGAGAAAAGCAGACCTCAATTTAAATTAAATACACATGATTTCTTCCCCCCAAAAGCCTGTCACTTTATTTCTTTTTATCATTTACTTTTCAGATATTTCTCTGTGTGTTTTTTTAAAGGAGGAGGGCTTCATCAGTCATCTAGGTCTAACAGGAGTATTTTTATTTCTGATAGCAGGAATATGAGATTTGACAGAGACCCACTTAAGTGGATTCAGTCAAATGACTAATTAATGTGACAGCAACACAGCCTTGCAAAATATATGAAACATAATTGTTCCTGTCAACTTCTGGCAGTCTCGTTCACCACTGCAAGCTGGGGTTATGAAGGTCCTTGTTTTGTTTGTTTTTTAGTACTTTATCTTTCCAGTGGTGTCTGAATAGATGTAGGCTGTTTCCTAGTCAAACATTTTATTTGCCATAAAATGGAGATCCAACTTACCCAGAGCTTTCTTGCAAAACTGTGTCATTTTATAAAAATATTTTCACTGAAAAACCACACTTCAGTGTTTTCAGAAAGGAAAATAAATCCAGTTTTCTCAGTGGATTCTTCCTGTTCTGATTTAATTTGTGTTTTACATGCATTTTATAAAGAGTAAAGAAATGTCTGAAACAGAGATTAAATTCTTGTTCCCAATATTCTCTTTTGGGGGTTGGTTGCTGGGGTTTTTTCATGGAAAAAAATGAAACATTCCTGTGAGGAAAGGAAAACTATCCTCTACCGATTTATTTGGTTGAATAAGTGAAACAAAATCACTTGTTTACAGAATAACAGAGAAAATGTAATACATGCAAATCGTTTACAACAAACCCACATTAGCATACATAGAATACAATAATGCCATTGCAGCTCAACATCTGCCACTCCGCAATTATTGCATAATTACAGTAGCTCTAGACACGGAAGCTGATGTCACCGCTTTTACTTTGTACAGACTATGTTTTACTGTTAATGCAAGAAGATGCAATACAATAACTTTGAGCAATAATGACCTGAAACAGCATCGTTCTTTCCTGTTACCAGCTTTGCTTCTGCAATCCCACCAAGACTAACCCGTCCTCTGACTGAGATAGATAGATGTTTCTAGAGCTCTGAATTAATGTAATGTATTGCATTGTTTCGTGCATGAATGCTATTAGGAAATAAAACCTCAGCGGAGAGGTTGCAGGAAGTACTCGTTGCTGAGTACTGAATGTGTTTAGACTGCTAATGATATCACCATCTTATCTTCTGCAGGTACCCCAACAATTTGTGTCACTGTCTGGGCAGTGCTGAGGCTTCACTTTGATGATACTGGGTAGGTATTGCCGTGTGGGAAATCATTTCAAGTGCATTTAGCACGACTGCAAGGATGAGACAGAAATACAGTGATCAGAGGACGTGACTAATTTCTCCTTCCATTTCTGACATTGATTAGTGTATGCAAGTAGTTTAGTTGACCATCCAGTGGTCAACCTAGAGTGTTTTCCTGTTCAGCTGCGTAAGTAGCCATAGCTCGATGTTTATGTCCCCTGGTAAATTCCTAAAAGAATACAGGCAGGCATCTACCCTGTAAACACACAGCGGGGCCAGTGGCCCTCCCTTCCTGGCTCAGTTTAATGAGTGGAGTCCAGGACACGGTCTATCTCAGCTTAAAAGAGATGTGAGGTGAATCACACCTGTGATTGTCTTCTCTCCAACCGAATATGAAGGAAGACAAAGGTGGTGAGCTCAGCTGTAGAGATTGTTGCAGATACCTCTGATGCGATGAGTGAAATCTGCACAAGGCATTGCTGAGCTTTGATTTACAAAGGCAATTAGGAATTTAGCTTCCCCTTGGAGAGTTTTTTCGACAAATCTAGTCAGAGAGATGAGTACAGGTGAGACAGAAATTTGCATCCTGTCTTCTGTGCGAAAAAAAAGAGGAAACTGAATAATTTCAGTAAAAATTCAAGAGGGTAGATTCCACCCAAACAGTCTCTTTCAGTAAGGAAATATCCTGCAAATATCCTGTATCCTTCTCCAAAGGACCAGAAAGAAAGGCTGCTCCCAGAGATGGTCCTGCACAACTCAGTAGTCAGTAGATTGACTGGTCTGATAGACCAGCACACGTAGCTGGTAGGAACGGAGATGTACGTACACCTTGAAAACACAAACTTAGCAATGTTTTTTCATGACAACTATGTTTGAAATTGGTGGAATGTTAGAAAAATGCTGGGAATGAGGGAGACTGAAAAAAATTTGGAAAATACAGCAGTGGTTCTTTGAAAACCTTGATCTGAGTGAAAGGTATCATTAAGTCCCATTTCCAAGAGATTTAGGCTTATGTTTTAATTTTGCCTTATACTAGAGATACCTGGATCCAAAACCTGCACAAGGCTCACTGCTCTGTCAGGTTCTCTTCGTCCTTTTTCCTTCACGCTCTTTTTGGAAAGTGCATAAAGCCCTTCCTCCAATGGGGATGCCAGTGCTTTGGACCCAATGTTCTATTTTGACATTAAGACAAATGAAATAATTTATTTCCATGCAAAACAAGCCAGAAACCCCTGTTGTGTCATTATTATGGTTACAACACTGGTCCTAAATGCATTAATTTCTCTTAGGAGTCCCAACAGTCCTTGCATTTTGCTGGTAGGGGGAAGGTCTCACAGAAGAAAAAAAACCAAAAAAACCCTTTCCTTTCTTTCAGTTAGAGAAGCTATTTAGCATGCAACATGTTTAGAGAGATTCTAGCTGAGCGTCTCAGTGGTTACTTTTTAAAAATCAGTGAGCATTGTTCTGGGGGTGGGGGAGAAGCCAGCATGAGCCTGAAAACATTGCAGAAATTACTGAACTGGGAAACCACAGTCGCAAAGGCATGGACTAAAATACAGACTGAGTCCGAGTCTCCTCCTGCTTGCTCCTTATAGAGCTGGCAGAGCTCCCTTGACTTCAGCTCCTGATTCATATCACCATAAGTGACCGGTTTGTGGAGATAAATGCAACTGTCTGTTTATCCAGAGCTGTGCTACTGAATTAAATGGAGCTATTCCAGCTGTACACCAGGGATGTAACAGAGATCAGACTCTGGCCTTTTCAAATGGAAATCACATCCCTCTCCCAGCCCACTGGCTCTCTTCCCTTCATCCCTCCTGAAAAAGAGGGCTGTGTGTCTGACCTCCACTGTAGCAACGCATTTGAAAGAAGTTAGGGAGCCTGTGTACGTAGGACAGCTTGTTGGCTGATGCTACAGACTTTTCTGTTGTGCGTTGCTTTTTTTTTCCTTCTGGCCATGTTCATCTAAGGAGAAGATGGTGTTTCTTCCACCACATCCATCCTATAGATGACACGGGGACTGGACCAAAAAAGTCCTTGAAAAAACTTTTGTGTGAGCTTGATGTGATTCATTGTTGACATCTACAAGGTAGACATTGGAAACTCAGCTTGCTGGGGGGACATAAGGAGAGGAATAGGTCTAAAAAGAATAGGCATTTGTAAGACATGACATATTGCCCCGGAGTACACATTTAAAATACATCATTGTGGAGAAAAAAAAAAGAAAACAACCTCCAAGTGTCTCTATGTCCCAACCAGATTCCAGGATTACTAGATGGGCTGTAGATGTCATCAGTATACATGACTGGAACTAGAGCAGGTAGATTCCATCCCCTGTAATTTCTCATGTCTACACAGACAAATTGCCATACATCAATGCCTGTTTGTATAGCTCGCTTAGCGTTAGAATTTGCCCAGATTCTTCTGACATTGGTCAATTCACTAAAGACTTTCAGGGTAGATTTAATGTGCATCTTAACGAGGTTGAGCTCTGCAAATAACGGGTAATTTTCATAAGGCAGCACTCTAATTTACAAATGCATGCAAAGAATTTAAAAGACAATTGGTGATTTTGGGTACCTTTGCGGCATTCAATTGTTGGTAACTGGAAAGAGGCTGGTTTCCAGGCTGTGGGTGAGGTGTTCCCTCTGAACCGTGGTCCCCTTTCAAGTATTTAAAGTTGAGCATCCAAAGTGAGGTAGCTCAGAAATGTTACTTTGCATTTGAAAATCTCAGCCATTTGTCCCATAGTTTGGGGGGGGATTTTAAGTTTCTAGGCCTTGTAGACAGAAGCAAAAATATGTAATTTTGTGCAGATTTGACACCCCAGCTCTAAATTTTCTCTCCAGCTGAGATTTCTAAATCAGACTTCACTCAGCTGCTTGGGATTTCTCTCATGCACTTTGATGATGGAATTTTAGCTCTGACTCCTCACACTTACACAGGTATATAGTTTTGTTTAAAGTAAAGATTTTCACTTTTCCCCCAGATGTTACCAGAATACTATTTAAATGGCACAGAAGCTGCATTAAGCTCTCATAAGATCAGCAGTGGTTTATTCCTGTATGCTCTTTCAAATTGTTTCTTGGCATCTGACAAATGCACCATGACAACCACTGCTGGGACTTTCGTCTGTTGTCCCAGTGGGAGGGAAACCCTCCTTCTCAGAACTGCAGGTACAAAGCAGATATTTTTCTGTGATTTTAAGTTTTCTAGAGGGAATCGTGAGGGGAATAAAGTAGAGACAAATAAAAGACATTTTTTAACTGACAATCAAATTCTTAATAAGTTAAAATAGTGTAGCGGGGGTGGTGTGGCAGGGGAAATAAGGGTTTTTTTCATTGTTATTGTTTTTCTAGCTTTAAAAATATATGTTAAAGTTAAAAAGACATATAGATGGGTCCTGTAATTACCTTTCTCTACAAACGAATGTCCGAATGCATCTAGATGGAATAAACTTCAGCAGAATCCTTTGCTGAATCTGGAGGAAGATTTTAAATGCTGAGGTGGAAATGCCATTTTGTTTATGATCACTTCCAACAGCTTAAAAAAGGAGCTGACCTCAACTGTTGTCCAGTACCTGAACCTTCTTAGACGAATCCTTGCTCCTTGGTAGGACTTGCAACCCAATGACTAGAAAATCATTCCTATATGTGAATATAGCCAGTCTCCAGTACATCTTCACGTACTAGATATGCATGAGAATCCACACGTCAGGGTCAGGAACCAACATCCATATCTGTTTACCCTGGAAAAGTAACTGAGACATCAAACTTTGGAATAACCATCTCTTACCCTTCAAGGTATCCCTGTCTTTTTTTTTTCCTTCTACTGAGGTGTTAGATTAAATGGACAATTTTACAGTTGTACTGTCTGTAGACACAGAAACATACACAGAGGCATTTTCCAAAATGGCTAAACTGTTTAATAAGAAGTACCATCGAAATTGCCACAAAAATACTTATTTTACTTTCAGATAAGTTGGGTAAAGGCTGTAACAGAAAGCTATAACAGGGACAGACTAAAGAACTAGTACCTTTGAACACAAATAATTTAGCTACAAGACCAATCTCCCACTCTCTACCCTCTTAAAAATTGTAAGTTTATTAACTTCCTTGTTATATCTTTCTCTTTCCTTATATTTCCCCACCCCATTCTTTCATTAATGACTGCAGCTGCTGGGATATGAATGACAACACTGCCTTGTGGTGGGTCATCAAGGGTCCTGTGGTTGGATCAATCATGGTAAGCAGCACTTGGAGGAGGCATTTCCTCAACACTTCTGAGGGCAAATAACTGATGCAAATAGCTTCAAATGGCTTTACAAACGATGTTGCAACTACTGCGCTGCTGGACAACTTGTCTGCATGTCTGTCATTTGCCACCCACCACGTTAAGTAATTCCATTGTTATAAAAAAGGTTTAGTACAAGTTAAATGATGGTACACTGCCTGCAACCAAAGACTACGTAGACAAGGAGTTATTCAGTTGCTGAAACAGAGCTACCAAACACCATAAGACCCTAGAGCATATGAAACATTTGCCTGGGGCTGCAAGATAGGACACAGGATGTATGGGAATCCTGTGCTATTTAGGATGGCAGCTGAAGGCCAAGTGGGACAACGCAGGGCATCTAAAACAGTACTAGATGCCAGTGAGTAGGAAACTGGACTGTGTCTGTTGAACAAAATTCATTTCACAGCTACATTTATTTATCTAATATTAGTTTTACAATAGTGGTGTTGACATAGTGCAAGATGTTCAATTGTTGAGAAGGTATCTAAGTTCTCTCTAGTCGATGGAGGTCTTGGATCCGACTCAAATGACACTAGATAGCTGTGTATGGATGACTGAGAGGTTCTAAAGTACCCTGTCTGTGTTCCAGCTGCTGCCCCAAAAGAATATGGGAATTTTAAAATGGTGTTGGGCTCCTCCAGTTAGAAAATGAAATTGACCCCTAGACAATATGGTTAGTGGCACCTGAAAAGCTGTTTGGCTTACCACATGTAGATGCCTAATTCTGGGCATTCTAAGTTGCTTTCCATACTCCAGTGACAGCATTGGCCAGGTCTTCATTGGTTGTGGTGGGCATTTAGATATCCAGCCCACAGGTAGCTATCTACATGTAGGTGTTTTCGTCAGGTTTGGTGCTTCTCCTCTTAAGTATTTGGAGAGCTCTCTAAAGTACAGTAACCTTCAGACCCATTAAAAGTAATTAATCTAATCACACTGAAGGGTATTGAGATGGAGAGGGTCCAATGGTCTGGAGTTTTTGTGGTATTGATGTATGTGAATGTCCATGCTTTACAGATATATTCTGTGAAGACTCACATTCTGGTCTTGGAGAATCAGTTATACCTGACTTCTATTGAAGGCATTAAAGATTCAAGCAACTAGCAAGGAATGGCTGGGCTTCTCCATTCATTTGTAGTCCTCAGATCAGATAGAAAATTCTTCTGAAAGGGATGTTCAGATCTAGTTTAAGTTCTTGGTCTCCTTACAGGAGTAAAATGTTGCAAGAAACTTAAATTTCCCACTGGTTTCTTCCAGCATTGATCTGAAACCAAAGCAGCAAAATAAACTGATTTTATTAATCTACAAATTAAAAAAAAAAAAAATTGTAATGACATGATTCTACAAAAGAGAAGATTCCCAGGATGACATGAAACTAAAAGACATGAAGAAGAACATTAAACATCCCCCACACACACACAAGGACTCCTCCCCTCCCCAAAATCTTAGAGGTCATCTCATCTTGGGACAGATTCAGCCAAGCAGTGGGAAAATGAGACAACTCGGGATTTCCAGGGAAGAGGAGACACTAACTTGTGACTGATGGATGCTGCTAAACTTAGAAAAATGCCTTAGTTCAGAGAAAGGAGAAAAAGATGTTTTTACTGTTGACATCTTTGCCGTATGGTTTTGATGTGCCAGGATCTTTCTTTTTATTCTTTGCACTGCTTGATAATGAAAAATGTTGAAACTTTTTGGCTTATGTTTGTCTTATCCGGTGCTTGAGAATGAAGATATTCTGCCTTACTTTAGCAGCTTCAAGGGGGATAGTTTTGACTGGAAAAGGGGCAATAAGACCCTTGTAAACTTATCCTGTTACTCTTGACCCTGTAAAACAGACTGTAGTTTGGAGAAGAATAAAGCAATGGAGCCAGCAAGTCACTGGGAATGTCTCATTCTCATACTTGAAAAAACATATCATTGTCATAATTTTTTTCCTTTTTTTTTTCCCCTAGATAAACTTCGTGCTTTTTATTGGCATAATTGTGATACTTGTGCAGAAACTCCAGTCACCTGATATCGGGGGCAATGAATCCAGCATTTATTTGTAAGTACAAATAAAGCAGTAATCAATTTAGATTTCTAATATACACATAGGAAAAAAGAAAAAGTCAAAAAGACACCTGAGCTGAAGCGATTTGATTTTCAAAAAGAGTCATAGGATCTATTAAATTTATTTGGTTTATTTTAACTTTTTTTTTCAATCCGAAAGCCACTAAAGTGCATTCTAATGCCAGTTTTCACCCTTCTTTAAAAAAACTAGAAAAAAAAAACCATAGATACAAGATTACAAAAAAAACAAACCCAAACTTATTTACAGGTCAATTATCTGGAAATTAACATACTGACCAGCATAAGTATTATTATACTGGTGGGACAGTCTGCTGTGCTTCATACGTTCCAGGGACATGGTCCAAAGTTCATTGAAATCAATGAGATTCGGCAAAACGATTTCATTAACTTGAGACTGAATTCTAACTTAAGAATTGCTCCTAGAGGTGGTTTTTTTCATGTTTCTGGTAACCTTGAATGCATTCAACTTAAGCCAAACAATTTCCCCATGCAGATACAATTGCTTAAAAATATGCAACAAATTCTAAATTTTTCCATTAGAAGTTTTAAAACTTTTTTTTCAGTTTACATTCTTTCAAAACTGACATCCTTTTTGTTAGTTTCCACTCGCTGGAGAACAGAGGTTGGCCATTTGAGATGGTCATCATTCCCATTTTGAGTGCATTCAGTCATTCTCCATATAAAAATTATGTAATAATTTTGAATAGCTAGGATGTGTGGCAACACATTTGGTACTTTTTTGGCTTTTCAGCCTAAAAACATGCACCGTTTGCTTTGCAATTTTTTGTGGGCTCTAGTGATTTCTAGCACTCATAAACATAAGTAAGACTATTTGATTTAACACTGGATTCCTGGTGAAAAAAGGCAAGTCATGCAAACAAATAAAAATAAAAGGTGTCAGGGTGAAGTAGGAGATCCTTACTATGTAGTACTTTTTTTTTTAAATGATCCAGTGATCAGTTTCATCCTAAATAGCCACACTCATAGCATAACGATGTCACACCTAAATGACAATTTTCAGGGAAAAATATGTCCTCCCGCTGCTTATTTTTCTTCCCTTTCCTACTGTCTTGTTTACATTTACAAGAAGTAGTAATATTTTATGCCTCATTTTTTCATCTCTGTAGACAAACATCCACTTACTGAAAGTGCTGCCCTTGAAGTTTGCTCTAAACTGTTTCCACAGAAAAAAATAATGCTTTAAATTCATTCTGCAGATGGATATTTCTCAGAATTAAAACTCAAGAGCAAGTGTAGTGGAGAGGTTAACTGTATGCATGGTTTGCCTAGGGCTTGCATGAAGACTTCCCATGTATGTGCTTCTGGGAAGTCGTCCTCTGAATCTTAGATTGTAATTAGCACCCAAGATGTGCAGAGCCAGTTCCGATTACGACCTGCTAAGTGCATGTTTGGTGTCTGCTGCACATCTCTCACATATGAAGCAAAGCATGCCATAGACTCCAGTGATTTAACTAGACTGTAAAACATTGTTGTCATTTTTGATCAATATGGTGACTGCGTTTTATTGATATTTTTCCTATGTGTATAGTTAGCCACCAAAACCAAGAGAAAACATCATATTTTCTGTTTCATTCGCTGCCATTATTTTTCATATTTTTTTGCGACTTTATAAATGGGTGTGTATAAACTGATCTTGCATTTATGTATATGTTATGAAGTGGAGTGTTGTTTATCCAAACAGATTCAACAACAGAAAAGTCACCAGAAATGATTAAAAAAAAGAAATTAATAAGTCTATGCAGATATACACCAGACATACTCAATATTTTTGCACACATCCTGTAAAAAGAGAGCTGTTATAATGAAGGAAAAAGATAGATCATAGTGTGGTTATGTCACCATATTGAAATCACTGTGACATTTAGACTGTGGTCCATATTAAGCATTTTCCATGTCCTGGTTTGCTGTTTCCAACTGTTAAACATCATCCCATTAGGTCAATCGGTCCATCCAGATCTTTAATCCACAACATATTTAAGTATGTTGTCTTTAGTAAGAGTCATCTTTAGTAAGTATGTCGTCTTTAGTAAGAGACGGATCAGTTGCAGTGGAGGAAGGATATTCAGCTTTTTTCTGACGGTCTTATCACATGGTATCTATCTGCAACAGTGACTGAGATTTATTCTGATAAAAGTCTTCCACTCTTTGGAATATTTCTTTAGCTAGGACTTCCATCATCAAAAAGGAAAATAAAAGACCCCACAAAAACTTGGTTATTGATGTTGTGTAGGATTTACTTTCTTCTTATATGTATGGTACATGTTTATGTTCAGGTCCTTTTAATGATTATTTTTGGAAGGAAAATTTACCTCCAGTTCTATTTCATAGACACTACGGTCATGGTTTTGCAAATCACTTAAGCCTGTATGTGACTTCAAAAACCTTAGGGATGTGTTTAAACTCAAAGATTAATTATATATTGTTACCACTGTGCATTAATCATTAAAAATTCCCGCTACTGAAGTTAAATGTGAGCTATGACAGGAACACAACAGAACAGTGGACTACTGGGGAACTAATGCTTAATTAATATAGTGTAGCCACCAGAGAATGTAAGACTTGCTTTAAAAAAAATCAAACAATAATTTGTATAATTTGCAGCACAATAACGAGTGCTTTTCACCCATAAAAAATCAGACTTTGTCTCTAAATAACCTCATGACCATTATACGCAATAGCCTTTGCCTTTAGTCTGACAAAAACTTGGAAACATGTAGCTAATTCATAACAATTTTGTGCAGCAGTCATATGCTTTAGTGATTGTAAACTTCCGTTTTATCAACTTGTATGCTCAGTCATTCATTACCAGCCTCATGCCTAATCAACCTTTCTTCACACATTTGGTTCCCCCTCAAAGCTGCCTGCATGCTGCTGATCCCATTTCAGACTGAACAGCTCAAAACACATCAGATTCTGGGAGAACAATAACTCCGTCCTTCTTTTACTGACGTTTTAGATAGAAACTCCTCCTTATGGCTGAAATAATTGGGGGCTAGATTCACCAAAGATACCTCAGCAGCTGAGGTAGGAATTAAAAAGGAAATAAAAGCCACCTTTTTTAATGTTCATTTTAATTTTATGATTTTTTGGGTGTTTTTTTCTGAGAACCTTGAGCAGCTTTCATACTTCCTCCCAGTAGTCATCGTAATCATTATTTACTATGTAGTGTTAGGAGTGAACTGCCAAAGGCATAAAAAAGACATAACTTTGTTTCTTGAATCATGTTCCGGTTTCAGTTAATCTTGTGTCAGTCCTGAATAATTCCACCAAATTAAGCATCAAACCAAAGGAAGTCCGGTAGTACAAATACAATAAATTTTTATCTGAGTGAGAAGTTCTGAGATCCTCTGGTGCTGGGGGAGCATAAAATGATATCGATTGTATTCCTAGTGTAATTAAGACAACTATCTGTGTAGTTCAGACAGGTTTCTTGCCCCATCTCGTGAAGGAATTGCATAAGCAATTGTAATGCGCCATGGTCATGGACATGACATACTTAATCCTATAGTACAAATGACAATGTCTTGTATTTGTACCTGTATATTCCATCCAGTTAGGTTTTACTTAACGTGCTTCTAAACAAGAAAGCACTGCCTGATTTTTAGCAATCTCCAGTTGCACAGTTTGTAAACATTTTGAAGAAGCAGTAGATTATTTAGGGACACTGTTACACCATATGCTGAAAGCCAAGTAGAACCGCATCAGAAGTCCATGAATCCAACGCGCACTCACAGTTCTGCAGACTGGAAACGCATATTCACGGCCCTACTATGGCTGGCTCAGCACACAGTACATCACATCAGGCCCACATTATTTGCATGGATTTTCATACATCAGTCCCTTGTTTGGAATTTTAGGAAATGGATAATAAATCGATATGGCAAGGCTTCATTGTTTTTCCCATGAGAACACCAGACAATAGTGTGTAACATGGTCTGTCAGCATCTGCTTTGAGGCATCCTGGTTTTGGTCAAGTTGTTGTAGACAGAGTACGTTCACAACCCCGCAAAAAACCATATTCCTTTAGAAATGTCTACATGAAGCTTAAATCCATGCTATTATTTTCATGAGCATTATTGCATTGCCGAAAGAGTCATTATAGACAGAAGATCATCTAACAGTGCCACTATCATAAACCACTACAGTAATTAAGTCGGTACGCATGATGTAGATGCATGCTGGAATAACCCATAAGTTTAAAAAGACCCACACATTTCCATCAAGTCTGCTTGTTCATTCATTTTCAAGGATCACACACATTTGACTGAAAAAGTTTCTGGTTTATTTTTTTTTATTTCCAGTTTATCATGAATAGTATAATTTGGGAGGGGGAAGCTTGTTTCTGCTTTTGCTTTAACAGATTCTTCATAAATTTTGTATCACATGTTGAAAACTCAATGAAAAGAAAATAAACCCAACATATATCTAGCTAATTCAGGTCTACGTCATTCCTCCAATCAGCATCTTGCTGGAAAGAAAGGAGAAACATGGCATATATCATAGGTAGGTATGATTTTACATACGGTGCAACCTAGAGGGTTAGGGCAGGAGAAGCAATGTCGTAACACAAATGTTTTGGTAAACAACACTCCTCTACAGTTCACCTACAAAGTCACTGGACACTTACTGATTCATTCTGCTACCGCTTTGTCTTGCTGCAAGTGCTCAGACTGCCAGCATTAATAATAATTGACAGGGTCTTCATGCCAAAAGTCTAATTTTTGACAGGAAAATGGCAGATGTTTTATAACAGTATATTCTTTAGTATGGCACTTTAATTTTTTAACCCCAGGTACTCTCAGTTGGGTGCTGGAATGCCCACTAACCCAGCAATGAAAGGAACTCATGTCCCTGGGCTAATCCTTTTCTACAACAAGAAAATACAACGGAAAACATAGACGATGATCACTTGGTCTCAGTGCGTGATCAGCAAGGACCTAGTTCTCATTTCTA